TGAATTTTATTGTTGTTAACAACCATTTGATCAATAAATATGAGAGATGCCCTCTCAAAAAAAAAAAAAAATAACAGATCCAGTCAAGGATCAACAAAGATTGCTAATATGTCAAAAAGAAAGACACCTAGACATTATGGGGCCTCCAGGTGAAAGCAAGACATACTTTGGAATATGTCTTACACTCTATGGAGTATTGTTGGAAATAAAATTCAACCTAAATCAGATCAAGTGTCTAGATGAAACAACTAGTTTATGGTGTTGGAGAAGGACTCAGAGCAGTGTTTAAATAACAATCCAGATTGAGGGAAATCATAGAAGACAAATGACCCAGTTTTTCCAACAAACATCAGTGGCAATGGAAAGAAGAAAAAGGCCTAGGTACTAGGGTATTCACTACACAATTCTTTCTTCTTATATGCATGCTTAAAATTTCCCATAATGACAAAAAGATTTAAAACAATGGCGAAAATGTATAAATGTCTTAGCATATACTCAAAATGACAGTTGAGGAAATGAAGGTACATAAAAAACTATGCACATGTACTTGAGATTAATACTTACTTTGGAGCATGCCTGTAATTGGTTTCCCATAACTTCTAACCGTGATAATAGTCTATCTTCATCTATTAAAGCCTGTTGAAGAAAAATTAAAAGTAAATAAATTCCCAGGGTAATTAAAAAATACATACATCAAAAGTTGCTACTGCCAAAAAAATATATAAAATCATAAAATTGATTAACATCCATTATAAAAGGTCAAATTCTAAATTATTTGTTCATTAGGAAATAATTTTGCCTTTGCTTGCTACAAAATTTTAGTTTTAGTTTAATCAACATCTAAGGGAGATTAAACTAACTTAAGTGTTCTTGCATATAAAGGCAGCTGGCATACCTGCCAACTGGTATCTGAAGCCTCCTGGGTGATGGCTAGTAGCCGCTGGAGCGTGGCTAACTTCTGTTCCAGCATCTGTTCCCGATGTAAGGCCTCCTAATAGTATAAATCACAAGAGAGAGTCTAATAAGCTCAGCATGACTCCTTTGAAGAACTAATCAATTTTTAGCACATTCTGAAAATATCGTCACATTACACCCCACTTTGCAATCTTACTTTCAAAGCTGATTAATCTACTTGATAAAATATACATAGGCCACCTCAAATCAGCTTCATTTGTTGGGCTGTTAGTATTGTTAGGGGTGTTTCAGCTGCGACTTCCCTTAAAACAGAAAACAAGTCACCTGTTTTTGTTTTTTTTACACATAATTCATAAGAGTGAGCTAAAAACAAACCAAAACCCTAAAGTAGAAGAATCCAACAAATGTTTTAACCCCGCATTTTATATATACACATATTTTACAAATATATACATATCTATCTATCTATCTCAGAACAAACTCATTCAAACTAAGCCAGAACAATCTGGTTAATAGCAAAGATATTTCTCAATGGTTTAGCGGCAAGGGTATGACATCTAAAATAAAAATATCTTAATGTTTCCTTTTAAAAATATTATGTATGTATACATATCTATATTTAAAAAGAGAGAGACTGCTTTAGTCTCACGGCCATTGCATTTTTGTGTTCTGATTCTCTCTGCGACTGTATACCACTTAGCAGCAATCAAATACAGCAAAAATAAATGAGAGTCCACCAAGTGCTGGTTCAATGTAATTAAGGGGGATGGGGGTGGGGGGACAAGGAGTTATGTAACTGTTTGGCAACTCCAAAGGAGTGTTTTTACAGAGCAAGACATTGGGAAGCAAAGACTTGTCTGTAGGTCACTCGTTAACATTTGATAGCTGTTAAAAGGGTCTCCTTCACTGGAAGTCAAGGTGAAAATGCTCACACTGCATTCAGCTGTGGTTCTGGCACATCTTTTAAATTTTACTTTCTTCTATTCCTGTCCTTATCCAAAGAAGAAAACTCTCTACCCTAATACCTCTGAGCCGCCTCAACAGAGAAATGTATGCTTCAGAGACAGTACTTGAGGTTTAAAGAGTGCACTTACAGCTTTCCACATCCTTGATAAATAATGATTAGGGGAAAATCTGGTCTAATTATAGAGCTGGAGGTACTGGGTTTTAATGTAATTCTCAAGTATAGATTAAGGAATCTAATAAAAGCCATACCATCCCAGAACCTACACTAAAACACAGCTTACATTTAAAAGATACTAGTTGCCAAGTTTATTTTAAGCTTCTGAAACATTCCTAATATCCAGGAAATTACACAAATGCTACAAGAAGTTTTATTTAAAAACAAAACCACCAACCAATCACTATTTCCACTAGATGGTGTAATTTCACCTTTTTTACTCAATTCTTTTAGAGTTTCACAGTCCATAAGACACCACATCCTAACAGAAATCTAGTTCTTCCAGGAATGGGCTTTTAGTTCTACGGTATGAAACATAACTATTTGTTTTTATTCAGAAGGTTTACAATTTACGTTAGAACTTTAGCAATTCAAAAAGATGTATACAGAAAAGACAGTGTGGTCTGATCTCTCAAAAAATTACATGTCTACCATGAATATTCAAAGAACTGACAAAAATCCTAGGAAGGGTATTGGAGTGTCAGGCATTACATTCACAGTCCATGATGATTTGTGACTATAAATTATAGCCCTGGGAAATCACTGTACTGAGATGAGTTCCGTATTTCTACTTGATAAAATATACATAGGCCACCTCAAATCAGCTTCATTTGTTGGGCTGTTTTTGGCTGAAATACGAAGGTCAGGCCAGATTAATCTCTAAGTTTTTTTCTACCTCTAAAAATAAGAGATGTAGGCCAATTAACATCCCTTCCTACTGAATGGTAAACAAATAGTAACATTTTTTTAATGGCATACATTCCATGTGCTAGGCACTCGGTACTTTACATATGTTAATTCATTTACTCTTCACAATTCTTCAAGGTTAAGTGCTATTATTATAAACATATCACAGATGAAAAAAAGGAGGCACAAAAGGGTTAAACAACTTTCCCAACATATCAGAAGGTAAAGCCACAGATCGAGTCCTGGAACTCTGGCTAGGGTCTATGCTTTTATTTTAAATACTCTACCAAACTGCAAGTGTGTAAAACTGCTTTTCTCTTTAAGCCCAGTGGAAGATAAGGTTTGATTTAATACACTGGTAATTTTCACAGATGTGTGCATTCTTAACTAAGGTAGAGCTCTCTTAGTGATTAGTTCCTATAAAAGAATGTAGGGACCGGGATTATATGTAAAGGACTCACCCAAGGTCACAGCATCAGCTGAGCAGCAGAGCCAAGATAAAAACCTCAATCTCTAAACTGTTTGAGGGTTTCCTTAATCATGTCCCTCACCAGAACTGTAAGAACCATAATATAGCCTAAATTTCCCAGTATCAGGAAAAAAAGCCCAAAGCACTTTATTTCCTTTTTAGAGATTTGCATGACTCTTTAAATAGGTATTAACTTCTTCAGGAGCCCATTCCCAGCATCTGCCCCACCAAGAAATCTTTCCCTAGGCCCAGCAGCACAGCACAGTAGGGACGAGCACAGACTTTGTGGTCGGACTGCCTGGGTTCAAATCCGGCCCTATCACGTACTAGGTGTGTGGTATTTGTAAATTACATAACCTTCCTGTCCCTCAGGACTCCATTTGTAAAAATGGGAATAAAATATGCACCTTATAGGATTGTTGTAAGGATCAAATGTTTTAACATAGATAAAGGGCTAGGCTAGAGTCTGGCATATAGTAAGGGCTATGTAATTATTTGCTATTGTTATTATATTAAACAACCAAATTCTGTCCGGGTTCAATTTTACTTAAAAGTCATCTTTGGATAAAGAACTATTTTGGAACTTCGCCATATTTGACAGAAATAACTTCTCTTGTACAGAACCTTACCTTCTGTAGGATTAACAATCCTGATTCTTTCCATTCTTTCTTCATAGGACCTGTTTTTAACCCTTTTTTAACTTTTGTACTTGTACCCAGCCAGATTTCTTTAGTCTGTTCTTCTGAATTAGAAAATCAAATCTAAGTTGCTAATTCTACTTTTAAACTAAGAATTCTCAAGATTTACTTTACCTGTAGATACTGAGAAAGCTGGAATAGTTCCTGAGAGTACATACTTGGAGTGTTAGCAGCAACCTGGAAACAAAACGACATAGCATCAAGAGCTACGCAAAATATTTATAGAAGACATTAAAGCTAAACCTAGTCCTTGAAATGCCTATTTACTGAAATATGTAAAATATAAGTTATTTTTCTTATGAACCAGTTCCTTTAGTTTTCAGAATGTTTCTGTCCCATGTCCAGAATTTGTGAACGGTATACATCATGCCGACCTGCTCGAGATGTACGACGGTGGTAAAGTGAGTGCAACTCGTGAGAACATTCCTTGATAAACCAAATCACAAATTCCTAGCACAAAGGCAATCAGCCCTATCTTAATCCAGAAATAATACCTTCTAAATCAATAGATCTACATTTTCCCTTTTAAAATTCTTTGTTAAAAAGTTCTTCAGCATGTCAACAAGTCACAGCTCATTTACATGTAGTGATCTGTATGATGGGGTGTGTCTGGGGATTTGCGGGGAGAGGCAGAACATGAAATGTAACACTTTGCCCAATGGCCAGAGGCAATAAAAATAAGGTTTGTCAGGTTTTTTTCTTCTTTAAACTACAGGTAGGTTTTATGAAGAAAAAAGATGGGAAATAATGGTGTTTACACATTACAAATCACAGTCAAAATGCTTAGAACTCAAGAGTATTAGAATAAATATCTTCTATAAGGGGTTTTGCTCAGGTGTGGAATATAGAACCACGGCACTATTCCAAAAAATAAAAGGTGGGGGGACACTAGTAGGTTGCTATAACATTTACCCAGATCCTCAGCACTACCATGCCTACGGTTAACTTGTTAATGTTTACAGTATCATTCTTTACTAAGCTGAGAAAGTATATTTATACTAATAATATGCTAAGTAGAAGACAGAGAGGTGGCATTATTTTTAAGCATTAGTCCAAATCAGCCAGGTCATTATTTGCTTCTGAAATAATTCTTGGTATTGCTGAAGTTGATAATTAACCACTTAACTTCTAAAAAAGGAATCTAACAGAGAACGTCAGCTTCTGGCAGGCTTTCATTCTTTATCCAAATGAAAGAAAAAAAAAGTGAAATATTTTTCCTAATATTTACTTCAGTTATTGCTCTAAGAAAACTCAACATCTACATTAATGTCAAGATACAAAAGGTGTTTTTTTCCTATTTAGCAATGCTATCTATAATGGTTTAATACACCATTATTTCTCAATGAAAGAAAAAATATCTTCTAACAAGGAATCACTGCAAAGTTTCTGACCAAACAGGGTAAAAATTGATTTTTTAAGGACAACAAAAGAGCAATTTCTATAAGCCCATATTTCTGTGTTATTTCCATGTGTAGATACACATTGAGTGAACTATTTGGGCAGAAAGCTTTAGTAAATATTTTTAGACAGAGCTGTATTCCAGAAGAAAAAGTAGTAACTAATACTTCTCACCTCTGGCCAGGCATCAAACAAATACTCCTGCTCTACGGTCTGCCATTCACTTCAGATAACAAAGGCTTTTTCCCAAGAAACATCCACCCTAAATTTTCCAGTTACTGAAGATCAGAAGACTACAGTAACTACATACCTATATGCACTCTCTATATTTTGTTACAAAAGAAAAATACATTTCTATGTAAAGCATCTTAAAAACAAAAACAAACATTTATTTTCCAAGGCAATATAGATAAGTCAGTTTGGAAAAAATAACCATTAGCAACTTACTTTGTCCACAGGACTTGGTAATGGAGCATGGATGACACTGGAAAGCAAAATTTAGAATTTTTATCTAATTTCCTGACAGGAGAAGAAATAGTACAACAGTACCACAACATCTTGAACCCAAAGTTGATACACTTGCTTTCATTAGAGGCAATTAAAGGAATGTGAATTACTTTTCAATCCTTTACAAATGTATAGAATTCTTAGAAAACAAGGTAATAAATATGCAAGCCTACCTTTTATACATATGTCTAAACATAAATTCAAAATGCGAAATGTATTAAATGCTCTTTGAGGATTCAGTACTTAATGAGGGCTATGATGAATTCCTTGGTTATAAGAACTTCTATATGGAAAGGAAGCAATACTTAAATTATCCATTTTAAATTTTGGACTGTGCAAATTAAGTTCTTTTAAATCAAATATTCTTGTACAGAAAGTCTTAAAAATGAAGTTCTACTGGAAAGAAGGCTCTAATTGGAAATTTGCTCTAGTGGAGAAGAAGTTCAGCTTATCAGGACAGAAGCACCACCTCTCCACCCAGCCAGCTCACACACGGACAGCTGAAAGCTTAGATGCAGTATGAGACCCAACCCAGCAGCAGACAGACGGTATTGATTGGTACTAATGGCCTGGGGGCCTCATAAAGCGCTATTCTACCTCTTCAGTTTCACATCCGTGTTCTCAGGCGCTGCGACCAATTCGCCTCTGCATCCCCAGAACCTAACACTGGCCCTAACAAAGCTGGTGCTAAAGAAAGCTTTAAAAAATTACATACAACTTTAGTTCTTCTTCTCTACCCCATAAATATGGAATAGACATTTTAGGCATAAGTTGCTTTTTCTTGACTGTACAAGTAGTACATACTGATTATGGGAAATGTGTAAAGGATGAAGAAATAAATAAAAATTATCCACTGTCAGCACCCAGATTTGGGGTTTATACCTTTTTCTCTGTAGATATGCACACATAGGAAATGAACTTAAGGAATGTTAAATGGACGCAAGTGGTATTAATGGAAGTTTTTCAAAATCCAGTTTTCTTAGTGACCCAAGCACAAAATTTGTATCTTGTGAAAATCTGATTAAAAAGGTTAAAAATCCAGGAAAATATTTCATACATGATATGCATTTGTATCTTACAAAAACTATCTTGAATATAGGTGTATTTTGTTTGAATTATGAAAAAAGTTCATATGAATCAAAGGACTGTGGAACAGGAAAAGCGTTATTTACTGTTAGAATAGTGGGATTACGGGCAATTTCTTCCTGTTTCTTAAAATTTCAAAATTACTTGTGCAACAGAATGAAAATCAAGGAAGAAAAACCAATCAGCTTTTTGGGAACGAGCTACTAAAGACCTTAAGAGCACTAAATGCTATGTACACAATGTACCTTTAACTCTAACCATTCTGTCATACCCCAAAAAAGCATCTTAGTTGCTAAAAAACATTAGATTAACAATTACAAAAACAGCTAATGTTTATCACGTGCTTATTTATGCCAGGTACCATGCTAACCTCTGTAAGTGCACAATCTTGCTTAATCCTCCTCGTAAAATTTTACTCAATAGGTAGAAACAGGTACTATTTATTAGGTGCTATTGTTATTTTCATTTTTCACATGAGAACAGGGATGCCTGATCAAGTCACAGAACAGGTGGAGTTGGGTTTTGAACTGGACTCTTCTACTCTAAGGACCGTTCTGAACTCCCCTCAGCTCTGGAGAACTGCCTGCTCAAAATCCATCTCCTCCAGAAAGTCAGCCAAATTACATACAATGAAACTAACAGCAAAACTTGAATGACACTAGTAACAACATAAGAAAAACCAAATAACAAGAAGGAAACAGGCAAAAATGAAAAGCATTTGGGAAACAAGAGGGATAGGGACAACTCACTGAAACAATCTTTGAAAAAATTCACATGCCCTACTAGATGGGACCTGAGAACACAGATGACCCTTATGTCAAAGCTTTTAACTCCATGAAAGAAAAATATCATTATCAATACAAACCTCAAAGTCTTTAGGAAGCCACTCTTATTTTTAAAGCTGTAACTTTGACTAAAAATACTAAGTCACATTAAAGCTTCCAAAGTTAACTGTATACTTTAAATAATCAAACTATAATTAACAGGAAACAGATTATTTTAATTTAAAAATATTTAAAATTTTCTGTTTTGCTTCAGATATCCTTAAAGCTTAAAAAATAAAACAACTGGCAGCTTCTAACTGAAGTATAATATATTATAATTCTAATGAAAGCATGAGCTACCATATAACAAGAGGGCCTCTTTGCTTTCATTTTTCCTTCTCTCTTCCCTACTGACTACTCCACTATGCCTTCAACTTATTCTTTCTCTCAACCTCCCATCCTCAGACCTTTCTTCTCTGTTTCTGAAGGATAGAAACTACCACATTAGCTATAGAAACAAGCTTCTAGCATATTCAAGGTTTTCCCTGAAATAAAACAATGCTGAAGTAAAGATTGTTTAGCTTCCCCTAACACTTCCTAAGATCATCTGTGAAACACAAGATCAAAATGTACTTAGGTTTAGGTTTAACATTTACATTCTCCGAGTAATTCTCCCTTTCAGGTTTTTCCTCCTCTAATTGATCTTTTCATGGCTTCATTAAAAAAAAAAAAAAAAAAAAAGTACAGCATGGGAAAATCCCTCTAAAAACTCCCACCAGAATATGCTACTAACTATATCAGCATCCTTCAGGGTCCAGTAAGATTGCGACACTGGCATTAACTTCAAGGCAATCATAGTCTAAGAAGTCCTATATTAATTAAATACAGATTAAACTGAATACAGTTATCACTCACCAGTAACTCACATACCCCAAATATTTTGGAAAACAATAATCCACCAAAGTAGAAATAATAAAGTTAAATTTGGAAACAAAATAATGTGTGCCTCCTTATGCATTATTATCCAGTAAATTATAATTTACTAGAACTGCAACCAATGAGAAAAGCAATTAAACTGAAATATATTACAAAAGCACTACATCAGTTTTCTGACATTATTAGAATAAGCCTAAAGCAGTAACAGTACATTGTCACCTAGAATATTATTAACCAAGCTAATTAATATGAAACGTTCACAGCACTAAATTATACTCACTCTGAGCGGAGCCGGGCTTCCATACCATCTGGTAGAAAAAGTTTTATTGTGGAAACAATACACCCATGGGTAACTGGTCAAAACAAACAAATAAGATGTATAAAATAATTGTTTAAAAATACAAACCTTCGTACCTCTCATATATGAACAGGCATTTTATCTTAAATGTAATAACTTCTGGGAAAGAAAATAAATCTGGTGGTTTAATGGCAATATTCATTCCCCTGGAAAAACTCATCCGCATCCATAATGAATCACAACGGCAAGGTAGAATCACAGATGGAATTGCTTCGAAAAGTGTCCTAACCTCCAGTACCATCACACCAGTCAGTAAAAGGTCAGTGGGATCTATGGCAATATGGCTGGGGGGAGGGGAAGTGCACTTTCTTCCCTGTCAGCTGGCATTAGGAACTAAGTCCAACTATTCCCCAGTTTCAAATTTGGCTCTTAGTCCTAATTCTCCTGTCCCCAACCTGTAACTCCTACCCACACCTCACAAAACTCTAAAGTTTCGCATAACACAGCTCGGAGTACGCCATTCAATTCCCCATTTCATGACGGAGACAAGTGTAACTGCTTTCAGGACTCTGCTATTAGGAGTCAGAGCGATTTGCTGGAACTCGAGTCTGAGGGTTCCAGTTCAGCACTGACATGCTGGTTTTGTTCCCTTGCTGGTTGTTTCTTCCTCCTCCCCCAAGTATCTCTGCACAACATTACACCAGTCACTCTGCGGCAGCTTCCTACAGCTGCTTCTTACTTCCTCCTTTTCCTGCTGAAGATCTCAAGTGACAAAACCCCCCAAGAGCAGCACTCATTTGGGGCTTCTCTTTGCGTGGGTTTTACAGGAAAAGATGTTTTTGCTGGTTTAAAGGTTGATGGTTTCTTATTTCTCTATTCTTTAGTTATCATGTTTTCCAGGGGTCAAAGGGTTATTTAGTTTACCAAACTCTAAAGGAAAAGTAATACAGGACGATGAAAATACGCTGCCTCATGATTACAGGAGTGGTGCTAATGCGATCGCACACATTTATCACAACTCAGTAAACTGTACGTGCAAAACTAGTGTTGCAAGTAAATTATACCTCAATAAAACTAACTGAAGAGTAGAGCTAATTCATTTCTATGAGGGTAACTTAAGTGATCAGCCCCATGAATCACCAAGATGATACTATCAATACACAGTAATATGATTATCACCTGGTAATGCACATTAAACTTAAGAAATTTAGCACAGTTTACTCAATATTAGTTTTCACGAATTTATTATACGAAAAGTGCTAACACAGATGAAGAACGACAGTCTTCTAAATCCTCTGCCTAACAAAGCAATTATGGCCACGAACCGTTGGTCTCTTCCCTTCCTGTTGGGCCTCATCCTTCATCCTGCTACCCCTTGGATATCTGCCTATATGTTAGCATTTTAAAAGCTCTGAGAAGCCCTGCTTACCTTTGATTAACTAAGCATTTTCTAAATAATTTGATTCCCTAATTCTTTTATCAATTAACACCTATTAATTCTCTCTGGGAAATGCAAGCCCCGGAGACCGACATTCCTTGGAGAGAAAGTCCGTGTAATCCGGTTCTCTGTCTTCTCTGTGGGTGACTCCCAGCTAGGGCTAAGTAAACGTTTGCTGAATGACTTGGTACCAGAGGAGGTATGCCATGGCCACAGCAGATGTTAGAGGGTCCACTACAGCTGTTCCCAGTATAGTCATACATAGGGTGAGTTCTCTTAGGAAAGAGTACTCAGTATGTTACATCAAAATACAAATTTCCTTTCCTATTTTACAATTGTAAATGGAAATCTGGCCCTACCCAAATTCAAATATGAAAACCTAGCTCTCTTGAGGCCAACAAAACCCAGTAAAGATTAAATTGCAGTTGTGACACTAGTTAAAGTATGTAAACTGATATGTGTAAGTGCACACGCACACGCACAACAGCATCACTGCCCCCCACTCCCATGTTTACTGGGAAATACGTCAGAGACCGATGACTTAGGGCATCACCATATCAGAGCAAGTTCAGGAACCAAACCGGAGAAACTTCCCACCTGGTTCCACTGTCCAAATTAAACTAAGACAGTGGAACTGCATACTTTTGGTTCCTATTCATTTCATTTTATGATTCAACCATACAATTTCATGGTTATAAAGTAGACAGTGAACTAAGTAGAGCCAGGAAGCTTCAGAATTGTAAAAATAAAGACAATCTACATTTATTTAGCTAGAGAACTTCTAGTTTCAAAAACTGATACGTGTGATTTTTATATCTGTGATAGGTTATTAACTGCCTACAGAACTCTGCACACACAACCAGAAGGGATAAATCATAAATGATCAATGCCATTTATGGATCTCCTGATTCCGTCTGCCAGGTAAGCAACTTCCCAGGTTCCTTTGTGGCTACAGGTAGCTATATATGTGACCTACCCATGTGGCCAATGGGACAAAAGGAGAAATCTGCTGGGAGGGTTCTACAAAAGACTGCTTTTTCAACATAGAAAGAGAGCCACACAGGACATTTTGTCCCCTTTTAGACTTTTTGCCTAGGACACTGGTGTGGGGAAAACAATGTCTTGGGCCTATAGCCATCATTCTTCGACCACGGAGGCAACATGCAAAAGCTAAGACCAGGCAAAAGCAGAAGAAACCAACATTTTAAGAGCAGCAAAATGGAAGAAGAGTAAGTCCCTGGATTCCTGATAATGTCATCGAGCTAAGCAAACAAAGTCGGAACCAACCTGCCTCCACACTTCTTGTTGACAACAATCCCCTGATGATTCAAGGTCCTGCTAGCTGGGTATGCTGGCACTGCAGCCATCTGCTTCCTACCTGACACGGGGGCGCCCCCTGCCTTCATACGGTGTTGAAAATATACATCACTTGACATTTCCAAATTTAGAATTTTGGAAAAGCAACAGAAGAAATGAGAGACTTTTAATGTTCACTGCATTTAATGTTTAAATTTAATGTATTTAAATCGCTTTTACAAACATGAAATAATAATAGAATTTTAAAAAAATACTTTGAAAGAGAAATAATAGGAAAAATTGATCCATACCCGTACCTTTCCGTGTGTTCTCCGTTACATCAACCCCAAACTGGATAATGTCACCAGAAAGAATTTCACATGGTGGACTTTCTTCAGAGCCTCGACTCAATCTCTGGCTATTTATAAAGGTACCATTACTACTTTTAGTGTCTTGGAGATAAAACTGCAAAAACAAAAACAAACAAACAAAAAAGAGGCAAAGATTAATAGTAATGATTCCAAACCTACTTTTAAGAAAAGTACTTCTAACTTTGTAAAGCAATGTTTGCAAATTTTCCCCTATCAATTCAAACCACTTGTTTCACTAAGGTTTACCTTCAACCTATATGAAATTAGAACACTGAAATGGGGTGATTTAGAATCCCACTAGAAAAAATGGTACAATCACTTTGGATAACAGTTCATAAGGTCCTCAAAATGTTAAACATAAAGTTAGCACATGACCCAGCAATTCCACTCCAAGGTATAACTCAAGAGAACTGAAAACATATGTCTGTCCTCACAAACACTTGCACACGAATGCTCAGAGCAGCGCTATTCATAATAGCCCCAAAGTAGAAACAACCCCAATGTCCACCAACTGATGACTGGGTAAACAAAATGCAGTATATTCACACAATGTTATATTACTGAGCAATAAAAAGGAATGAAGTATTGATTCATGTCACAATGTGCAGTAACCTTTAAAACATTATGCTAAGTAAAAGAAGTTAGCCACAAAAAGACATATATTATGTAATTTCATTTATATGAAGTATCCAGAATAAGCAAATCCATGGGGATAAAAAACACATCAGTAATTGCAAGGGGCTGAGAGGCTGAGGGCAAGAGGGTTGGGGTAGGAGGTGGAGAGGAAGTTGGTGATGGACAATAATTGCTAATGGGTACTCTTTGGAGATGATCAAAATGTTCCAAAATCAAATTGTGGTGATGGCTGCATAACTCTGTGAATATACTAAAACCCACTAAATTGTACAGTTTAAAAGGGTGGATTTCATGGTTTATGAATTATATCTGAATAAAGTTGTTAATAAAAAAAAAAAAAGCCAACCAGACAAAATTCTAATTCTGTCTCCACCTTACTCTTTGGAACTTTGCTCCTAAGATGCCTGAGCTAAATCACAGGAAGTATTTATTCTGCAGGCAAGGAAAGCGGTTTCAGGAAGGCCTATCACTAATAGCTATAAGCTAGCTGACACATTTGGTATCAGCACCAGTGCATCTTCAGTAACTCCTTCGTAATAAAGCAGACCGGAGCCACTAGAAGCTAAAACCCTGGAATCGACTATGGAGAAACTATCTCCTGGCCTCCACACATGCCTTTCATCACTTGGGTAATTTTCCCTCTTTAAAGAGAGAAGAGGTAGTAATAGGAGCACAGGAAGCCTACTTATTTACCACTTACCTGTCTTAAAAGAAGTTAGGAACAACTGGGATCATACACAGCAGACTGACCAGGAAGAGAATAACCAGGGAAAAAGATGTACCTGTCTCTTGGCATTACTCTCCAACCCTGCTTATTCTAGCAATGTATTTTCCCTGAATTTCTTCCTAAGGAAGAAAGGACAAAAAAAAAACCACCCTAATATTTATTAAAATACATGTTATACCAACAGGCCCTCATGTAACCTTAACATTAAAGCTAGGATATGGATATTACTTCCACGTCTAAATGAGAAAAGCAAGGCGGAGTCAAGTATCTTTCCAAAGGCCACAGAGCCAGGAACACAGAAGCAAGGATTCAAATAATATAGTGAAAAGGGCCATTTTCCCCATTATTTCACACTGACCTTTATGTTTCATTTATCCTTCACTCCTCCTCCAAGCTCTTTTCCAAATTGAAACACAACAAAAGAATAAGCAATTTCAGAAAATATGAAAATGACCTTTCTTTTCATTAATTCCTGGGTGACAATCTAAAGGCTACCAGGCTGCCTATATATGACTTATTCTGTGTTTATAATTCAAAAGAGACCAACTGTTACTTTGGCTTGCAGCTTGTATATTTAATTACAGCCCATTAATAAAGAAAACTGTGTTGATATTTTACTAGTCCACTGAAAATGTACAGGCCTTAATATTTCACAGTAGGGAGATAAGCACAGATGACACTCAAGCAGGAAACTTAGCCTCAAAATTATTTCTATACTGGGACTTCCTGTTACCCTATGTAAGGGAGCTTGTTTTTTTAATAAATTTATTCTTGGGAAATGTGGCAATGTTTGGATTCTGGATTGGTCATTTTCAGTCATGTGTGTCTGGCAAACCAAATAAAGGAACTATACTAGATTTACAGTGGTTTCCAAAGTGCAAGTTCTGATCCTTTAGTGTGTTCCTAAGTCAATTTAATGGGCTGTGACTAAGATTTTGTTTTAAATATTAAAGAGAACAGAGGTAAGAATATATAAAATATATATAAAGAATATATAATATGGAAAATAAGAAAGGGTGTGTGTGTGTGTGTGTGTGTGTGCATGTGTGTGTCAACAGCTCACACTTGTAGCTCTTACATAACTCTAAAACCATAAAGTTTCAAATGAGAAAAAAAGAATTAAAATCAACATTAACTCAGGTTCTTTCCATTCTGACATGTCTATACTGCTGTCCAAAGTACAAAATGGTACCTTTGGCCTCCAGTTAGCTGGAACACATCATTTACATTAGTTGGTCTTTCTTCCTCTGCTCTCAACCTGCTCATGGCTTCCGAACACTTTTGATTACACACAAAGTTCTTAGCATTACAGCCAATAAAGCTTACACTATCTGGCTCCTGGTTCCCCCTCCAAACTCACTGTAACGTCCGCTATATTCTTCGTCATCCGTCTCAGCCACACTAACCCCCACGCCAGTCTCTGCACCTATGTGCAGAGCTAGACCACATTAGCTAGACCACATTAGTTTACTCCCTCCAGAAGTATTTTCCTTGACATGATTTAACATTCTGCCCTTGGCTGTTTTGAAAGACTGATATTAAAGATAATGTCTGTGTACATCCTATGAAACAATCAGCCATTATTTAGTCTATATTATACAAAACTATTTTGTTCACTATTAGGTTAGGTTCCCAAAAGTATAAAGAAGTCAATTAGTCTGCAAGGGACAAGGAAGGGACTGTGCTTACGCTCCCCAGATGCATTTCCCATAAGTAGGTATGCTAGTTGGTCCTTTATCACTTTCAAACCAGAAGTATCTTTCTCCACTAAACTGATAAACCTTCTTCTATCAGGCTTTCTTTTTTTTCTTTCTTAAAAGAGATCACTTTGGGCTACTCTTTAAAAAATAATCTTGTTGCAGCCTTCTCTATCTTTATTTCTTAATAGCCTAAGGAATGCCCAAGCAACTCTAGTGTTTGCACTAGCCTCTGGCCATTCGCTTTGATAGTGAACAGGCTGTAAGCAGCCTGAGTTTCTAAAACCCTCTGTAGCTTGTGGCCAAAGTTCAACTTTCACTGTTTCCAGGCTGTATCTTGAATTAACCCCTTGTATGCCCCTGAAATAATGCTGAGCTCCCAGAAATCAGGCATGACCTCAGACTGAAAGGACGTGCCTGCCCCGTCAGTCAGTCTCTCTACCTTGTCTCCTGCTGGTTACCATTACCTTCAACGACAGGGGCACTGCCCTTCACAGGCTGCATAATTTGCTCTTTGGCCTTCACAAAGTTCCTGCTGTTCATTCCATAAATAAATACATTTTGTATCACCTTCAGCTTTGCTAAAATCTGCAAATACTATCATTTCCACTATAATGATGAACAACCCTTTCTACACTGATAGATTTTGCAAAAGCCAAACACCACTAGATTGAGAACATTTGAACTACAGTTTCAGAACAAAGTGCAAACTAATAGACATGCAATAGGTTAGAAGCCAGAAACTCTAAGCCCATACAAAGGAGTTTTTAAGTTGTGATGTGGAATGGACGATGACAGAGAGATGGTAGATGCTGCATCATAGATTTTTAATCTACCTGGATCATGCCTGAGAACAGACAGAGTGACTAAGACAGCATAACCAAAATGTCATTTACAACAAAAGTACGTAACAAGGTTCATGTGAATCTCAAAATATGAGCGGGGAAAAACATCAACATGAAATTAGCATCTGTGCAGAGACATATAGGGAAGCAACAGCACTTTTGAGGGGCTTGAGGAGAATGTCAAAATAGTCACCAGGTATTCACTGGACAGTGTGTTGGCCGATTTGAGAAGAGAAGCTGAAAATGAGAAAAGTTCAGCCCAATCCAGTATAACAAGTGAGTGTAAGTTCTGAAAAAGGCTTGGAGCAGTCTGAATCATATAAATTCCTAAAACCAGCCTATACCAATCGGGCTGCTTTCCAGGACAGGGCTCCACTCTGAGGAAAAGCTGCTGGGCGTAGAACCAAAATTGATCAGGGCAGGGACAAAAGAGATAAGGAAAGAAAAGATTCAGATAAAAGCGGGGAAGGGGAAAAGAAGCCACCATATTTTGGAACACTTCACAAAACCAACACAAGAGGGAGCTCTATGACATTGGAAATCCTGAATCATGACTTCTGAAAGGTCAGAAAAACAAATTTCACATAAAAATGAGCAATAGAAAAATATCAAGGTCCCCTCCCACACAGTTGCTCTAAGAAAAAAGGGACAGAAGAGTAGAATAGCATCCCTATAAATAACGAAAGACAGACTGTGGGAAAAGATAAAAATTTTAGCAAACTATTTCAGAAGCGAAAAGGCATTAAAAAATAATTCAACACATGAAAAGGAAATATCAATTGCAATTTCAAAATGCTATGAAAGGTGGAAGAACTCAAAAAAGAAATAGAAATAAGAGGGAAAAAATTATTTCAGAAGTGAATATAAAATTAGAAGGACACTGTGTCTAAACACAACCAGTGATGCATTAAGAGACATAAAAGGTAAAAAAGGAGGAAATTTTTTAAAAATCAAAAAGAAATGAAGAAAGTGATGTCAACAAAATGGCACAGTAGGCAACTCCAAGCTCCCATCCCCCTCAGAAAGACTGAAAACCATGCAGAAACCAACAGAACCAACTTTGTTGGAACTACGGAAAACAAAGTTTTACAGCAACCAAGTGAACGCTGGATCAAGAAAAAGGCATTTAGTAATGGTAGGAAATCTTTGTGGCATCTCTTGTTCCATCCCCTTCCCTGGAACACCGAGC